CTCCCCCCCTGGCCCTCCTCCCCCTGCCCTCCCCCCTCCCCCCGCCCTCTCCCCCCTGCCCTCCCCCCCCGCCCTCTCCCCCCCCCCCCCGCCATCCTGCGTCCTCTGTGGTGCTGTTTCCACCTGCACCACGTTGGAAGAGCGCACAGGTGGCTCCTGGTGCGTGGGGCCCTCTGGACACCTTGAAGGGCCGCTGGCCCTGGGCTGGTCGGGTGGGAGGCACCACCGGCCGGGCCGGGCAGGGGAGGCCTGGGAGCCCCGGGCAGGGCCCAGCTGGCACCAGCATGGGGCTCGGTTTACGCGTGTGCCGTGGTTCTGGGCTGCTTGTCGCCGGAGGATGTGAACAGGAGGAAGCCACACAGGGCTGAGGGAAATGGAAGGCTGCAAAGACACTTGAGGTTTGAACCCGACTCAGGGGCCCACGTGGAAGTTCACTCTGTCCTGTGCGTAGCGATGGTTAGCGTGAAAGCGGGTTTGGGGGGACGGCGGAAGGTTAAGGACTGAAAAGTGTCCAGGAGACAGGGCTGAAGGCTGCGGGGAAGCCCCCGCTCTGACAACTGCTCCCGGACGGGCTGTCTGGCGCGGGGCTCCCCCACCACCCGGTAACGGTTCTTGGTGTGCCACGCGGACGTCTCCTGGACAGCACCTTGCGCGGCTTATGAGTAGCATCGCCGTGGGTTTATTTTTTGCAAAGATGCAAATTTCCATAAATAGCAATGGAAGCATAAAACGGTTTCCTCTCCAAGTATTGTACGCAATTTCTTTCTGGAATTTTTCCGTACTGAATGGCTTCAGCCAGGACATGCTATAAATTATTGTGGTCAAATCCTCAGAAGTGCATTTGTGCTCCAAGCTTTCATTTATAAAAATGATAACATTTTACTTTGGAAATAATTTTCACAGAATATTTCATTAAAAAAAAAACCACTTATAATATTGAAGAGCTTTACATTTTCTTCCCTTTTGAAATTACCTTTGTGGGGTTTTTGTCCTGATAAAAATAGTTCTTTGGAAAAATGCTGGAAAGGACAAAGGTGAAACAATGTTGCCTCCAATTCTTCTGACAGGATTTTGTCATATGCGTTTTTCTTAGAATACTAACATACATGTATCTTTAGAGATGTAATTATACGCTATTTGGGCAAGTGTTTTTTTTTTTTTTTTTTTTTTGGTTGGTCGTGGGGCCTGAACTCTGGGCTTAGGCGCTGTCCCTCAGCTCTTCAGCTCAAGGCTAGCGCTCTACCACATGAGCCACAGCACCACTTCCGGCTTTTTCTTTTTGCTTATGTGGTGCTGAGGAATCAAACCCAGGGCCTCATGCATGCAAGGCAAGCGCTGTACCACTGAGCCACCTTCCCAGCCAGATGAGTGTTTTATTTGAATGGGACAAAGTGAGGATTATTTTTACGCTACTAAATACTTGGTTCTAGTAATAGCTCATGTGTTCATCCTTTTGCATCATGCTGTGTCAGCTGATTCTTCACTGCATGTTAGGCAGGTGAGCAGTGGTTGTAAGTTTGCTCAGGGATCCATCTGGCCTACCTTTGTGGCTGTGCAAGGCCGGGTCCTCATGGCGAGCGTGCAGTGTGCAAGGCAGGGGTCCTCATGGTAAGTGTGCAAGGCTGAGTCCTTGGTGTGTGTGCAAGGCCGGGGTCCTCGTGGTGCTCATGGCGTGTGTGTAAGGTTGAAGCTCCAAGTGTGTTTGATTGTCAGGGTTTTTGACACTCTGGATGACTCTATTTTTTCGCTGTGCCCTAACATGGGGAGTTATAGTTTCTGAATATTTCTCCTTGTTCCTGGCACCAGCTAGATGGTCTCTGTTTAATATTCAGCTGGATTTGGCTTGCAGATATTTTATTGAAAGTCACGACATCTGTGTTCATTAGAGAGGCTGGCCTGGCCCATGTCTCTCCGGTCTGTGTGTCGGGGTTTTTACTACCTCGTCAAATGGGCTGGGGCACTCCTCATGACTTTCCCGGGTCAGCTAACGTAGCACGGGACCATCCATTCCTCTTTCCTCGTGTGGAAGATGGGTCCACAGGCCACGGGTGGGGGGGGGAGGGGGCAGGGGGAGCGGCATTCCTTTGACAAGTTTATGCCTGTCTGTTCTTCTAACGCCGAGTCTGGTCGTTTGCATGCTTTGGCTTCAGCAGCAGCGGATAATTGGTAGGATAAAGCAAAGGAGACTTTCATAGTTAAATGACAACTCTTATTTTCTCTTTAACGATTGAACTGTACTAAGAGGCTCAGCTGCTCTTATGTCTTGGGGTATTTGACAACTTCTCATCTGGGAGATGGCCAGGATATTTGGCAGTGAGTTGCCGTTTCTGAATTAGAGAATCTTGTTCACTGGCCCCACGCTTTGCTTTCTCCTGGGCCTTGTGAGCTCCTGCTTGTGCCGATTCGCTCTGTCATCTGTTTTCTGATCGTCTTCTCTCAGTCTTCCCCATGCTCGCCTGCCTGTTGTAGCAAACAGAGACAATTAACAGCATTGTGGGAGCGGGTGGCCGGCCGCGGGAGAAGGGCATTGTGGGAGCGGGTGGCCGGCCGTGGTCTTTATCTTTTGGTGATGTAAGATAATAACAAAGCCAGTGTTGGTGGCTCACGCCTGTAATCCTAGCTACTCAGGAGGCTGAGATCTGAGGATTGAGGTTCAAAGCCAGCCCGGGCAGGAAAGTCTGTGAGACTCTTATCAACACAGTTGAAACCTTTTGGTTGTTTGGTTTCTGAAGTTGTCCTTTGAGAATATTTGAACTTGGCTTGAGCCACAGAGCATGAAATTGTGGACAGTGGCGCTTTGAGGTATCTGTATATGCTTGTTTCCCGGTACACAGGCATGCATGTGGACAAATTTGGCATTGTGGAACATACCTGTGTTAAAGGGTTTGCTGCAGGAGGGTGACTGAGAGTGCTCCTGTCTGAACAGGCCTGATTGGCATTCCCTTTGGCGTGGCCGGGGTGCTGTTCTCCTTAGAATGCCGATGACTTTCTAACATGTCAGTCCTCCTGTGAGTGAGCTCTGCTTATTTTTCCGGTTACGAAGCACACTGTTTGGAACTCCCGCCTGAATGTTTCGTGATTTCTCTCCCGTGGTCACTGCCAGCTCGCCAGGTGGGCAGGTGGCCTCGTGGTGGAGGGGAAGTTGAAGACAGGCCTTCAGGGGTTGCCCGATCTTGTCCGGAGGTTTCTGAGGATGAGGAAATTCACTTGGAGATATTTGGGCTTTGACCACCGGTTCCATGGAAGGTATTGGGCTGTTCCTTTGAGCCAGGAGGAAGCTAGCACCCGCGGGGGAGCCTGGCTGGGTCTTGTGTTTGTGGCCTCCAGAGAGAAGTCCTGGAGCTCCTCCTCCCCTCATTAAGAACAGCCGGGGAGCGGATGCAGAGGCAGACTCCACTGAGCGCCTCCTGGGTGTGAGGGGCTCTCCGCCATGAAGACCCCCCATCTTCACAGAGGGCAGGAGCGGGAGCGGGGCAGGGAGCTTGGGCTCCTCCTCCTCCATGCCGGCAGCCTGCTGTGCGCTCAGCACCTTGCTGGCAGCCAGCTCGCCCTCCGCCCGCCCGTCCCTCCGGCCCGGCCTCTTCCTGCAGCCTGAGTTTCTGTCCTAAGCCTGTTTGCAGATGCTGTCTGTCTGTCACACCAGCCACGGACCTCTGTGGTGCAGGCAAACCTTCCCGAGGCCTCCCCACACTTCCTTCTGAGCCCAGAGGCCCTCCCCGGCCGGCCGCCCCATGTCAGCGTGTGGCACAGTCTGCTTCCTCACGCCGGCTTGCCACCGACCGGAGCTCCATGTCCTGTGCGGGGTGGCCCCGCGGCGGCCCCCAGGTGCTCACTTGCTGGGATGGGGATGGCCGCCGCGGGGCATCTCAGGCAAGGGCTGAATCTAACATGGGCCGTGGAAGACAAACATGGAAAAGGCGTCCTTCGCGTCCCGGCTGGTGAGGGCATCGTTACCAGCGGGGCCGTCCGGCTGGCGTGCGGGACTCGATGGTTGAAACTCCGCGGGCTGCACGGGCCCTGAGCGACATGTCCCATTCCCGGGGAGGACGTGGGGCGAGGCCACACAAGGCCCTGAGCGACATGTCCTGTTCCCGAGGAGGACCTGGGGCGAGGCCACACAAGGCCCTGAGCGACATGTCCCGTTCCCGGGGAGGACCTGGGGCGAGGCCACACAAGGCCCTGAGCGGGTCTCAGTGATTCCTTCTGGAGCTCTTTAGCTCGCGCTGCTTAGCCTTGGGCCCAGACCAAACCTCTTGTGAGCAAGCACTGCTGGAGTCGAGTCGCCCCACTGTCCGGGGCCAGAGGTGTTCCTTCTGAGAACCCTCGAAGAGCCAGGTGCTCGCAGGAGGGCAGCCACCCAGGAGACCTCAGGAAAGGGACGTATCTGCCCAAGGAATCAAAGCAGGTCTAAAGGAGGAGCGGTTTTGCAGGGCTTTTCCTGTGGCCTTGGAAACCAAGAGTGTATGCTGTTAGTTCATCAGTCACGGGCCACCTTTCAACTGCTCAGACGCAGCCTGCCCGGCTGAGGAGCAGGGTGGTAGCCCCTGGGCCGCTGGCTCTGCCCCATCGTCTTCCCTCTGTCTGGCTGCTCGCAGGTAGCTCGTCTCCTCTCCTCTCTTACTGGACCAGCGAGCTGACCCACGTGGCACGCAGCCTCCGTGCGCCAGCGGACCCGTGGCCGGGCAGGAGGGACCGTGCACACAGCTCCAACGCGGCTTCCTGTTTTCCTGTTAGCTGCATGCGTGGCTTTGCTGTGTGCTGTGACCGGCAGCTTGCATTTGTCTGGGGGGGACAGGAACATTGAACTACCACCAACGCATAGCACGTGAGGAGATCCTATGACTTCCAGCTTCCTGCACTGAGGCCAGAATTCAGTGAAGGAGCCGACGGTCACTGAGTGGAGGAAATTCTACCTAAGGCAGCGGAAAACCACAAGGCACGAAGTGAAGAGGAGCGGTGTGGAGAGGAGCTCTAGGAGGCTTAGTCCTCCCGCATAAGGAATGGCAGAGGAGGAAGGCGCGGTGGACAGGAGGCAGTGAGTGAAAAGACCCCAGTCTGAAGGCCGGGCGGCTGCTGGCTACATCAGAGGTGCGGGACACGTCCTGGCGGGATCTCAAGTTGCTCCACGTTTTCTTGTCACCCAGCTCAATCCGGCTGAGTTCAGGGCCTTGGAGTCAGCAGAATCTCCTTGATTCTTGTCTCTCGGGCCTGGTCTTGGTTAAAGAAAACGACAAAAGAGAGCCAGGCGCTGGTGGCTCACGCCTGTCATCCTAGCTACTCAGGAGGCTGAGATCTGAGGATCATGGTTCAGACCCAGCCCAGGCAGGAAAGTCTATGAGACTCTTATCTCCAATAAATCACCAGAAAACCAGAAGTGGCGCTGTAGCTCAAGTGGTAGAGCGCTCACCTTGAGCTGAAGAGCTGAGGGACAGCGCCCAGGCCCAGAGTTAAGCCCCATGACCGACAAAAACCAACTCCCCCCTCACAAAAATCCCCAAAACAATACAGTAAGGAAACAAAATGACTTCCCTGCCTGGGCTGTGCTTGTGCCTGACTTCCCTCCTGTGTGGGGTTTGGAGAGCACCAGGGCTTTGTTTTCTAGCAGTGTGGAGAGTTACACCTCCAGGGAATGGCTTGGAACGTATCAGAAGTCTGAGCAGGTGTCTGGCGTCTCCCTGTTTGTCTGGTTCAGGCAAGTGATTTTCCGTGTATCCGGCATCAGTGGTGAAAGACTATTGGATGGAATCCTGATGTTTATCTAAGTGACATTTTCATGTCAAACTAACATAGAATGTTATGACACTACTTTAAACACCCAAGTAATTTATAGTTTTGTATGTTGCCAAGACATTTAAATTATGCCCTAAAGATCTACCTACTTAAATCTGTAAGCCTGGGTCATGTCCTGCTGGGCTTACATGATGAACTGGAGTTTGCATCCTTTTTTTTTTTTTTTAAAGACCAGACACGATGTTTCTTCTGTTTATTTCTGGCTCCGTTACCATTCTACTGCAAGGGTTGGTGTTTGCATCTTAACATTTTAAAAGCATCACCTTTTGTGCCTGAGAAGCCCTCCTAGTTTAGGCCAACTCCAAGGTGTGTATAGTTTCTGGAGGTAGATGTGGTGCCAGTTCTCGGGACCGAGGAGAGCTGTCCTCGCTGCTCCTCCTCAGCTCTTCCTCGTCGCGCTTTTTGAAGAATTCTGAATCGCTGAGTATCCACACAGCGAACTTGGCAGCTGCTTTGACACATTCACACCGAACACTTCCTGCCCTGCAGAGCTTAGGAAAACAAACCAGCTTATGATGAATAGAAACGTTTTGCAGAGTACATGCGGACAGCCTATTTCTGTGTTTTTCTTCTCGGGAAGGCTGCATGACTCCAGCCACACGGATGGCGACTTCCTGACAGCGAGCAGGCTGTGGGGGTGAGGAAGGCCTTGCACAGACCGACTGCGTCCCCGACGGGTCTGGACTTTGTCAGGTTGGGCAGTGAGGCTTTTTTTTTCCTTTTTGCTACTGGGTCACTGCAAATCGTAAACCCAGGTCTGCGTGCTGTTCACAGGCTGGCTGTGGAGGAAGAGGCTCCCGCCGGACGCTGCTGGGTGCTGCCCCGGGCCGTGTGCTCAGTGTCTGCCGGAGCGGACGGGGGCTCGGGGCCCACGGCGTGGTGTGCGGAGCCCGGACGCCAGGGGCAGCGACGGCCAGACAGACAGGAGCGTGGGCTTCCCCTGCCTGCCCGCCTGTCCGCCTGTCCACCTGTCCGCCTGTCCGCCCTTCCGAGGTCTCCTCCGGACAATGGACGGGAGGACACCTTGGCTCTGGCAGGCCCTCGCGCCCCGGGTGCCCAGAAACTTGCGTGTCTGTCTTCCCCATCGGTCGTCGGCGAGCCTTGGTGGGGGCTGTGGGGGCTGAGGCTGGGCCTGGGGCCTTGTCCTGGGGCGAGGTGCAGTGCGGGCTGCCCGCTTCTGGGGTGCTTGCACCCCAGGGCTTGTCCTGCGGACAGCGCGTGCGCCGTGTGAGGATGAGAGAGAGGCCCCTAAGCTGCAGAGCAACCATAGTGCTTTGCTGTCTGCCTGTGCAACCATAGTGCTTTGCTGTCTGCATGTGCAACCATAGTGCTTTGCTGTCTGCCACTGAAATGCAAATGTACGAGCTTCCGCGAAAGACGCAGATTTCTCTAATCCTGGGTTTTTCTAAAGACATAGACAGTAATATGAGAAAACACATTGGAGGAAGCACACTTAAAGCCGACTGTTACAGGTTGGAGAGACGGTGGGCCGCCTCCTAAAGTCTGCAGTGAGAGCGAGCTTCCTGTGGTAGCGTGGGAAGCAGTGGTTACTCAGCCTTTCACCAAATAAAGGACAGAGGAAGGGAGGAAGGAAGAGAAGGGAGAAAGGGAGAGGAGAAAGGAGGGAGGGAGAGGAGGGCAGAGGAGGAAGGAAGGAGGGGAAGGTGGAAGGAAGGAGGGAGGAAGGCAGGCTCTGCAGCTGGCGGAGTGGCTGGGTGGCGGGGAGAGGAGTCCGTGTCAGGTCACGCTGGCAGGCATTGGTTTGTTTGCACAGAGGAGGCAGCCTGTCCACAGTACCCAGCACAGAGGCCTGAGGAGCCTCGCCTCACAGCGTCCGGGCCGGGAGAGGGCAGCCCACTCTCCTCTCCTCCGTGCAGACAGACATGGGTGGACGCTCTTGAAACACCCTTCTGGGCTTTGCCTTGTCGGGGTGTGTGACCACAGGACCTTGCCTTTCAGGGCACTTCTGAGAAGTCTCCGGGTGCCTACTTCCTTCCCGAGTTCGCCCTCTCCCCTCAGGGGAGCTTCCTGGAAGACACTACGGGGGAGCAGCTCCTCACCTACCGCTACGATGACCAGGTAAGGCAGGTGCGGAGCCTGCCGGGCTCTGTCCCTTGCAGGACGTGAGGCACTCCAGCACGCCCGCAGGGTGAGTGTCTTCCTCGGGCAGCACCGCACCACAGCGTGCTCCTTGGGCAGCCACGCTCCTGTGTGGCCCCGCAGTGGGCAGTTCTGCCTCTGAGCAGAGCATCTTCGGGGCCATGGTTTCTTATTTCTATCAGAAATATGCCGCGCAGGTGGGGCAGGGCTGCGTCTGTCACCACAGGTCCTAGGAACGGAGAGGCAGCAAAATGTCCCCCTCAGCACCATGAAGCCAGCACGGTGGCTCATCCTTCAGTCTCACCCGTGCGGGCAGACCAGGCCGGGCAGGCTGCCCTGGGCTACTTAGCAAAAAGTGACAGAGCACCTGCCTAGTGCCTGCCCCCCAAAGAGCTACCCATGCATTTGTTTACTAAGCTTAGTCTGACTCGGCAGACTTGTGCAGGTCCGTCCCAGACCCATTAAAGAAAAAACACCCCAAAAGACCCCAAAACCCAGAAAGTTTCTACCTTCAGTCATCTTCCCAAGTTATGTGAGAAGGTGAGTGTGTCTGTGGCTATCTGGGAGGGGGTGGGGTGGGGCCGATGCTGTACCCACGTTGCAGAGCTGGGCATTTGGGCGTGGACGCTAACAATGCCCGAATGCTAGCAAGTTGCTTTCTGCACTTCTCTCCAGTGGGTTCTTAGAAGGTCCAGAGCTCATGTTAAAAGTCAGTGCTCTGGTGGGCTTCGAGCGGCGAGTTCAGGGAAACCCACTGAGGAGCCCAGCGAGGACGCAGTGGGGGCGTTCCATAGTTAAAAGAGCAGTCAGTGCCTTCCTCAGGTCCCCAGATACATCTCACTTAATCACAACGAGGATAATGGCACAAAAACTAGGAAAAGAGGAAAACAAGTCCATTTAGTCTTTTCAAAAAGTCTGAAGCGGATCTTAGAGGAGCAGCGTGCTGTGGGAATTCCATCTGAGGACAGATGCTTCTAGAAAAGCCTCAGTGAGTAGCACAAGTCCACACTTCCTGTGCTGCCCACGCATAAGGTCATGGTCTGAGGCCACAGCCAGCAGCACCAGCAGAGAAGGTTCTTGTACAGAACCAGCCTTTCTCCCGAGCGAAGGCCTGGTTTTCTTTCCTCTTAAAACCGACTGCACTGTAAAGTTGGGGAGTATCTTCCACATGGGGGAAGAGGGAACCAACAAATATTGCCAGAGTTGGTGAGAGGGAGAGGAGAGAAAGGGAGGGAGAGAGAGGGGGGGGGGAAGGGAGGGACGATCTGCAGCCCTGTGGTAACACATTGAGATCAATTGTGAATAGAGCTAGAGTCGAGCTCTGCTTTAGGTTCAGGTTCAAGCCCTGGCTCTGCATGCGTGTGTGCGTGTGTGTGTGTGTGCGTGCGTGTGTGCGTGTGCGTGTGTGCGTGCGTGCGTGTGTGTGTGCGTGTGCGTGTGTGCGCGCCACTGTCAGGGGCCTCTGGACACCACAGGGGATGTTATCCACCCGTCTTGGCCTCCTGTGGGAATTTGGAACTGGCTAAGAGTGTCCTCCGGGCCACTGTCCCTGCCTGGGTTTTGGTAGGGATCCCATTTTTTTCCTCTTGGCAAAATGTGTTAGTTATAAAGCAAACAGCACTCACTTCACACTGAGTAGCACATCCTAGGAAGAAAGCCCCAGCCCACCAGCAGAGGCGGAGAGGAAGCCTGTGAAGGTTGTGGTCACTTGTCTGTCTGTGGGTCATTCCTTGCCCCTTTCTGTGCTGGTGTGGGGCTTTGTCCACTGACCCCTGTCCGTAGGCCACGCTGAGCACGGTGGGTCTGGAGGCAGAGTCGAGGGCCCCCCCCCCCCAGAGCGTTGGAAGTGTGGCTGCGGCTCTCTGCCCACGGCTCTTTCTGAGAAAGGATGATGGTGAGATCTTTCTCCATCTTTAATCTTACATCACCTTATGAAGACTTACACACAGAGGTTCCTTGCGGACACTGATTCGTGAGTTTGTGACAGATTCGTGTTTCACGATTGCTTTCTTGAAGTCACTTGGAGATTCCGCTGGGGTCACCACTGTCGGTGTGGAGTCTGAAGGCCGATACCGTGTGGCTCTGTCCTGCACTGGGTAGCCCGGCGCCGTTTCCCGCCCTTCCGGTTCATATGTTCTTCTACATCGTCCCCGGGGGGGTGGGGTGGGGGGCAGGGGGCAGCGGCCGGACGCGAGGCCCGGGCAGGCCTCCGCCCCGCTGCACGCCGGCGGAGAGGAGGGCCAGGGTCCTGGCTGGTCAGGTGAGGAGTGTGAACCGAGAGCTCACGTCCAGATCACACAGCCAGGCCGGCGCGGAGCCAAGTGGCTTTTCTTTGTCGTTTAGCCCAGTGAAGACATTTTTACAGCTAATCTGCGGGCAGGGAAAGTATGAGAGAAATGTTCGAATGCATTTTTAAAACTAGCAATAACAATAACATGTTAATCACCAAGACTCTGTGTTCTCTGCTTCCTTAACTGTTCTTAAGTGTTCCTTTGTCCGCTGGTACTATTGCCAGACCCATTTTTCCCTTTCCTTATTTGACAGTGGATTCTTGCATTCTTTCTGAGGAGAACACCTCTTTGCCGCGGTGGGTGCGTCTCCCTCAGAGCCACTTCCCGGCTCCTTGTGAATACGCCCCGGCCGGGACCTTCTCTGCGGTTACATTGTTGGCAGGCCTCACAAATATCACTTGAAGTTTCCAAGTTATTTATGTAATAGCTTTCAGCTTGGAAAGTAAATACCAGTTTCTGAAGCTTCTGGGACAAGGAAGATGGTGGACGCGGCCGGGGATGGATGCAAGTTCGCATCTTCTTTCCGCAGGTCGAAATGAAGTCCTGGCCTGTGTCCCTCATGCAGAGGACTCTCCGTGCCCGTCCGGGCCTGGGGGTGGGTCAGGCTTTTAAGCAGCTAGCCACATTAGTTCGAGCAGTTCATTCCTTTGCTGGTGAGTAATCTTGGTCAGTGTCATTTGCTCCTTAAATACTCCACTATTTAGGGATCTTAAGAGGAAGCAAACTCATGCTCCGTTAGCAGATGGGAAAACACCTGGGCGGGAGCCAAGCTGGCTAACGCCGGAGCACCGGCTCCCCACCTCCCCAGCGCAGGTGGCCAACGCCGCGCCCCCCCGCACCTGCCCTGCGCGGCCCTGACCCGAGACACCTCAGCACACCAGCTTCTCTTGAGTGCTTGCTCAGGCCCAGGCTGGGAGCTCCTGGGAGTCTGGCCACTGGTGGAACTTCATGTGGGCTGAGTCTTCTGTCAGCGCTGTCTTCCTCGGTCCAGCTTGGGAGTGCTTTTCCTCACTGTGTTTTGGTAATACTGGCTTTGCGTTCGGGGGCCTCGCTGCCAGGCACGCTTCCTCGCCGGAGCCACACCTGCAGCCCCTGTTTCTGCCTTCGTTATGTTCACATAGGATCTTGTGCTTTTCCCCCGGGCTGCCTCAGACCCTCACACTAACCCTGCCGTGGAGCTGGGGTTTGTAAGCAGGGACCACCATGCTGAGCTTGTTCTTTGAGATGGAGTCTTGCTGATCTTTGCCGATCAGGTTCTGTGCTGGCCTTGAACCAGGATCCTCTTACCCACGACCCCAGGTATCTGGGATTACAAAGGCACACACAGCTGCGCCCAATCTGTACTGTTTTGTTTGTTCCGCTCCACTTTCACCATATGGATTAAGTGGTGGCCGTAGGGTAGTTACACTGCCGATAATCTCACATGCAGCTCCACCCAAAGGCTCTCTACCATCTGGAGTGAGGAGAGAGAGGCTTGGTCCAGACAGGGCCGGCTGCCCAGTCAGGATCATTGCCCCTCTCGGGCCAGGCCTGGCCTGGCCCTGCTCACAAGAGTCTCAAGGTCTTGGAACACGTGGGCAGCTCTGCTCTGTCACTGCCAGTCCTTGGCGAAGTGGGCTCCTCGCTGCCTCCTCTCCCGCTCTCCCTTCCCCCAGGTTCCATCCCCGGCTGGGAGAGCCCCGATCAGTTCCTGATGGAGTCAGACGGGCCTTGACCAGGCTCCTGCAGGGGCTGCTCCTGACGCTCCTGACCAGCGTCACAGGGCTGGGGTGTGTGCGGACCTGTGATCTGCCCTTCCTTCCTCCCCTGCTGCCCTCCGCCCTGCACCCCTGCTGCCCTCCCCAGCCTGGCTGTCTGAGCATTCCCCAGGCCTCTAGGCCTGAACTCTGAGCCTGGGCGCTGTCCCGCAGGTCTTCAGCTCAAGGCCAGCGCTTTACCACTTGAGCCACGGCGCCACTTCCGGCCTCTTCTGCTTATGTGGTGCTGAGGAATCGAACCCAGGGCTTCATGCATGCAAGGCAAGCACTCTACCACTGAGCCACCTTCCCAGCCCCCTCCAAGGTGCTGACCGATGACACGCAGTGCTGACCGATGACACGGGTGCTGACCGGGGACACGGGTGCTGACCGATGACACAGTGCTGACCAATGACACGCAGTGCTGACCGATGACACGCAGTGCTGACCGATGACACGCCGATGACATGGGTGTTGACCGATGAAACGCAGGCTGACCAATGACACGCAGGCTGACCGGGGACACGGGTGCTGACCGATGACACGCGTGTTGACCGATGACATGGGTGCTGACCGATGACACGCAGTGCTGACCAATGACACGGGTGCTGACCGGGGACATGGGTGCTGACCGATGACACGGTGCTGACTGGGGACACGGGTGCTGACCGGGGACACGGGTGCTGACGATGACACACAGTGCTGACCGATGACACGCAGTGCTGACCGATGACACGGGTGCTGACCGATGACACGCAGTGCTGACCGATGACACGGGTGCTGACCGGGTACACGGGTGCTGACGATGACACGCAGTGCTGACCGATGACATGCAGTGCTGACCGATGACACGGGTGCTGACCGATGATACGCAGTGCTGACCGATGACACGGGTGCTGACGATGACACGGGTGCTGACGATGACACGGGTGCTGACGATGACACGGGTGCT